GAAGCAAACCCAAAAGAAAGATAATGTGTAAACCAGGAGTTAGAGGTGAACAGATGGGGAAAGTGGCAATAGAAAAAAGATAGCTGGGCATGGTTGAGCATGCCTTTAATCCCAGAACAAGGAGGCATAGGCTGGTGGATCTCTGTGAGTTACAGGATAGCTAGGACTACATAGAGTAACCCCGTCTCAAGGAAAGGGAAGGGAAGGGAAGGGAAGGAAAGGAAAGGAAAGGAAAGGAAAGGAAAGGAAAGAAAAGGAAAGGAAAGGAAAGGAAAGGAAAGGAAAAAGACAAGCTAAGGGTGTAGAACCTAGGTCAAGTGATTGCCTGGCAATTGCAAGACCTTGGATTTGAATTCTGGTACCGTGAGATGCTAGAGAGAATGGGGGTGTGGTCTCAAGGAGATGGGGAGTGGAGAAAAGTTCTGGTTTTCTAACATCCTGGCTCTCTCAACATTTTTGACATCAGAACAGATATTCCAAACAAAAATAATTTTGAGATAAAGTCTTACTCTGTGACCCACATAGACCTAAGCCTCACTATGTAGTCTAGGCTGGCCTTGAGTTAGTGGCAATCCCCCTGCCTTGAGGTTCCCAGTGGTAGGACTGTATTCATATCACCTGCCATATCCAATTGATATTCAAAAACCCAAGGCCTCTCGATAGGTCAGTACTCTATAACTGAGCAAGTTCAAAATACTGTATTCGTGTGCTTTTTTTTAAAACCCCTTTGCTCTTAGGAGGCCCACTACCCAGCTCCCAAACAAATACACAGATACACCACCATGCTCAGGTTTTCAAATGCATTGTTTTTAAATAGGTATTTTTAAATCAGAAAAAACCCACGTGTCTCTATCTGTTTATATGTATGCATTGTGTATTAATGTATACACATGTATCTTGAAGAGAAACATTTGGTATATGTGTCACCATTCATATTGACAGACCCATGAAACGAGGTTCTCTAAATTCTAACTATACTCAGGATTAAATTACTTGAAGCCTGGACATAAATTTCCATTCATTATAGCTTATTCATTAAGATTTTTATTACATTTACCCCACTATATATAGTTCTCTTCGTGTGTGTGTTGTGTGTGTGTGTGTGTGTTGTGTGTGTGTGTGTGTTGTGTGTGTGTGTGTGTGTGTGTGTGTGTGTTCGGGCACACAAACTCATGCATAGTGTGTGTGTGTAGATTACAGGATGATTCATAGAAGTCAGCACTCTCCCTTTACAATGTAGATCCTGGGGATCAAATTCAGATGGTTAGGCCCAGCTGAAAGTAAGTGCCTTAATCCATTGAGCCATTTCCCTGACCCACGCTTAATAATATCAGCTATACTCAGAAATTCTTACAGCATTGTAACTGAAAAACCACTTTGGTAGCAGATGTGGGAAATGGAGACAAAACATGTATTGAGAGGTGGATACTGGCTTCAGACTCTATAAAAATCTTCAAAAAGTAATCATCACATGAAACAAGCCTCGTGGAGGTTTTGTTTGTATCGGGGCTTTCTTTGCTTCATCATGCACCTATCTTGCATCTAATTTTTTCTTCTCTTCTGGTATTTTAAGAAAAGGTCCCATGTAGTCCAGACTTGCTTTGTAGCTGAATGCTGGTCATCTGAAGTCTTGGTCCTCCTGTTTCTACCTCACAACTGCTAGAACAGACATGAGCCATCATGCAGGGCATCAGAGGCAGCCCTTCTGTGTGTTCTCACCTGGTCTTTTCTCCGCATGTACACAGAGAATGTGTGTCAGGATGGCAGTCCCATTGGATTAAGGTACAATCCTTGGGCCTCATTTAAACCTGGTCATTCTTGTCTCCAAATGCAGTCCTATAGCTTCAACAGAAGATACTTGGTGGGCACACAATTTGCCCATAACAAGTTGAATATAAAACTGAGTTTGGGCAAGTATGGGGACAGGAGGATCAGGAATTCAAAGTTACCATTGTCTATGTAACAAGTTCAAGGACAGCCTTGGATATGGGAGGAGATAAATACCAAGTCCCAGCATCATTGTTAGGGCAGGTGAAGACAAGCACTCTGTTGCATAGATTAAGACCCATGGTAATCGGGAAGTACTTTAAACAATGAAATATTTTGAGTACTAACAGTAATCAAATCTTCATTTCAAAATGATAAAAATTGACAAAATGATTAAAAACTTTCATACTTAGGTACTCACTCTTCCTTGTTGTGTGTATATATTTCACATTTTATTATTAGTGTGGTAATGGAGGTACATGTGTGTGTGCCACAGTGCATGTTTGGAGGTCAGAATATAGTTTTTAGGGCCAGGCATGGTGATGCAGGGCTTAAATTCCAGCATTCAGGAGGCAGATGCAGACAAATCTCTGTGAGTTTGAGACCAGTGTGATTCAGTCTGGACCAGCCAAGGAATATACAGCGAGACTCTTTTTCCAAATGTGTGTGTGTGTGTGTGTGTGTGTTTGTGTGTGTGTTAGCATCTCTTTATTATGTATATTCTGTGATTTCTTTTTATTTCTTTTTGAGACAAGGACTCCTATATCCCAAGCTGGCCTCCAACTCCCTATATAGTTAGAGATGACCTGAACTCTCAATCCTTCTGTTCCCAACCCCCACATTCCCCATTCCCTGTCTATGTGATGTTAAGAATTGGATTGAGGATGCCATGAATGCTACGCAAATACATTCCTCCATCCCCATCCCTGCATATAAACTTTTTATACACTCAACATTAGCATCACGCCATTATGGACATTTTACAATTTTCATTTGGCATTTATTCATGTTAATATTAGAACATTATGTGTGGGGAGGTGGCCACAATGGATTTAGATTATATGATAAGTGTTTACATTAGTAGATATAGTTTGATGAATACAAGAGGGATTACACGTGACAGATGATAGATACAAACCACCCAGCTCCATGGTGGTATTAAGAGGGATGACTTTTGGGTTATGAAGACAGAGCCTAGCCTGGACTTAGTACTCTCATAAAAGTCTCAACAGACCCCACTTTCTCTATGCTTGGCTGTGTTGTGGAATATCAGGTCAAGATGTGTTGCATTCATTTATGCTGTGGAATATTTGTTTAATGCTTAAAGGTATGTTGCCTTATTTTTTTTTTGATACAGTGTTTCCCTGTGTAGCTTTGGAGCATGTCCTGGCACTAGCATCTAGATCTCTTCTCCTGCATACCAGGTAACATTTCTCAAGAAACAAATACTGGGAGGAAAGAGGACAGCTGCTTCCTTGAATGGGGAAATGCCATTACCAAGGTGACAGATGCTGAAAGGGGGAAGCCAATGGGAGGTGCTGGTCCCACTGCAAGAAGGTGCTCTGGGTGGGTGCTGTGTCTCTTCTTCCCCAGCATGTCCTCTTCTCGTTCCTTTATCACCTGAGGTTCTCCCCAATGTCCCATCCCCATAAAGTGGACATAGCTATGGCTTTTGATATTTCTAAACTAAGAGCGTTAGGTGTAGGTGGGAGAGCAGAGTGAAAATCAATTTCTTTGACAAAGTAATTTCTCTGAGGAAAAGCTGCTAAGGTGTGTGTCAGTTTGAGTTTAGTGTGATTGCATTATATTTAATTAACACCGAAGCAAAAAGTTGGGCTTTGAACGTCACTGGGAATAGACATGGGGTTGATTGACCAATAGACTGGTCAGGACAGCCAACTTTTATTTGCTCACAAGAGCTAGTCAGTTTGTCAGGGAATTTGGCACATCAATTGTTAAGTAAAAGTATTATGAAAACTTAAGCTGTATAACCTTACAATTAAATAAATCATTAAAAATGAAAGTATAATATGCATGCTTTCCTAATTGTTTAATTGTGTTTATTATTTTAGTTTTTTATCTTCTTGTGTGTTCATGCATATATGCTACAGGGTATGTGGAGAGGTCAGAGGACAACTGTGGGAGTCAGTTCTCTCCTTCTACCGTGTAGATCCCCGGGGGCAAGCTCGGATTGTCAGGTTTGGTCCATAGTCCCACATTTTACTATTTTATATAATCTGGAAGTTATTTACTTCTGTTGCATGGCAGAATAGCATGTTATTGTGCCTCTTCCCCCATTGGTTACTTGAACTCAATCAAGGTAAGAGAAGGTGTATGAGCCAGGTATGGTAGTGCATGCCTGCAATCCCAGCATTCAAAGGGTGGAGGTTGGGTGAAGAAGAGTTAGAAGCCACCCTCAAACATAACCGGTTCAAGCTCAAAGCTAGGCTGCATGAAACCCTTGTCTAAAAGGAAAAAAGACAATAATGTGTGCACCATGAGAACCAGCCAATAATGTACAGCGTTTTCTCCAGAGAAAGAGCTGCCTAAGAAATGTTACATGAACCATCTCAATACTGGACACTGCTTTCCAGTATTAAGGAAATAGCTTTTGGAGTGTTTGGAGGTTTCACTCATTTCTTTTTGTAGGTTTTGATTTGGCTTGGAAAGTCAGGGTGTCACTATATATACATAGCTAGTTGGGGGACTCTCAATTCCTCTTGCCTCAACTTCCCCAAAGCTGCAATGAAAGTTATATGCTACCATATTCAGAAGAACTTGTACATGAGTCAGTCTATATGGACATTCAATTGCTCCAGGAGAATTGCTGGATTCCTTGTAAGCTATCTTGACTCAGGCTGATTTCAAGGTGTTTTGCGTGAAGTCTGAATACTGCGCTCAGGTATCACATATGAGTGAGTCACTGCCCTACCAACACACTACAACCCCAGCTCCGTGTGTAAAATATAACATTAGAAAAAAAATGTCTAGAAGTAAAGCCGAAAGGTCTGTGCTGGTCGTGCACTGGAAGAGGTTGGTTGAGCGATTTGCCTTCTTCAGACCTTCCTCTCTGCCTTTCAGTGAACTTTACAAAGAATTCCATTTGTTTTTCTTCATTACTTTATGGGTTTGAATGTTTGTGTACATGTATGTCTGTGTACCACTTTCATGCCTGGTGTCCTTGGAGGCCAGAAGAGGGTGGGGGGTCCCCTGGATCAGGAGTTACAGACTGTTGTCCAGAACGGCCACCATGTGGGTGCTGGGAACTGAACCCGGGTCCTCTGCAAGAGCAGCCAGTGCTCTGAAGCAGCCAGCCATGTCTCCAGCCGCTGTCACTGGCTCTTTAATACTTCGTCATCTAAAAGCATACAAAGCATTGAAACGACATTGTGTTATGTTTCATGTCCTTTAACCATTGTCTAAACACTATGATCACTTACAACACACACATCACTTTAAAAGCTACTAGCTTGGCTCTGTAAACAGGTGACTTACTGATAGGATAAAGTTCTGCGTCGTGAATGTTGATTGTAAAATACACCATACATTAACTCCGGTTCTACTACTTGCATCTTCATTTAAATATTTCTGAAAACCCTCAAAATGTGGGGGGTAACAAACGTTAGACTCTGCCTTAGATACTAATACTCCATGTTCCAAGTTAGTAATAATTTACGTTAAAATCCTATGCTAATAAAGTGCTTTTCAAAAGCCCAGAGGTCTCTGTCTGGGCATGGCTTAAACACTGACCTCACCATGCCGGCACTTGGTGATGCGGAGTTCACAGCTGGCACCCTAAGGAAAGCAGTTGAGCAGCTGGGACACTGTATTGGTCTGGGAGAGAAAAACACCCACCCCCACCTCCACCCCCACTCCGGAAAAGAGGAAGACTAAGATTCAACAGAAGAAAAAAAAAAACCCACCCAAAAAAAAAAAAAAACCCTAGACCTCATCAGTTTTCAGCACAGAAGTGTCTCATAAAAAAACTCAGTTTGCAATTGGTTTTGGATTCCCTGAGTTTCACTTGAGGTTTACAGTTCAGCTTTCACTGACCTCGGTTCCCTCCGGCTTCTCGCCTTCACGGCAGTTCCAGCAAACTTAATCACAATGAGGCAAACCTTGGAAAACTCTCAGCACACCTGGGCTGGCTTTAGCTGTGAGGCAACCGGGCTTCCAGGCTTCCAGGCTTTGGATGCACGAGTATGAGGCACCTCCCCATCAGTGTGCTTGGGACAGGACACTAGCTGGGCTGTGTGCAGGAGTGCTGGCACCAGTCACAGCTGTACAGCAGCAACTCTCCCTGGCACCACACAACCCGTGTAGACCTTACTGTGTCACCCGAGATGACATGTGAACCAATCTGGGGAAACTGAGCAATGGGAAAGCGAAGCTATCGCAGAGGAAGAGCAGCCACCTAAAAGAAGGGATCTGGCCTCAAGGAACGACTCACTGTGCGGTGGGGAGAAAGAGAGAGAGTGCTGGAATAGCCATCACAAAACTGCCGAGATAGCCGTTTGTGCTGGGCTGCCGGTCTCACGTGGAAACTTTTCCACATCTGCGGCCATTTGTCTGCATCAACAGTGGCCCTGTTTATACTGTTTTGTTTGGGGTTCTGGCAAATCACAGAATCCTACTCTGAACTCTCCTGTGGGAGGAAAAGAGGATGTGCTCTATAGATGCTGCATCCTGTATTTTTATATTTTCCCTGGACCCTCCTGAGCTGGCAAGAGAGGGTCTTAGCCCTTCAGCAGCCTGTTGGGAGTGGGGCTTGGCCTCCAGGGCTGTCTGTCAGAACCCTGGCTGGGCGGCTGGGGCTGTGTGGAAACCTGGACCTGGTCCTCATCCCCGTGCCCAGGCTGCTTTCCCAGTTTCCACAGCTGCTTATCCCAGCTGCAGCTGAACTTGCATCGCCTACCACCCTCACCCTTGCCCAGAGGACTTTTTACTGGAGAAGACAAGGAAGAGAAACACACAGTTCCCTCTCCTCCAGGCCTAATATAAAGACACACAACAGAATTGGTTCAAAAAAAAAAAAAAACAGCAGAGGACATATTTGCAGTCTTTTAAATGTGAGGAAGACTGGGTATTATTTTAAACCAAAATATTCTCAGTGCTTGATTCTTGACCCGTTGACATGTACACAAAGATAGCAAACTTCAAATAGCGACTTCTCCTCAAGACAGCCTCAGTGTGAGACCCAGGCTTGACTCAAATGCACAGTCCTCCTGCATCAGCTTCCCAAATGCTAGGATTACAATTGTAATCCAAAATGTCTGGCTTTGGTTTTTTGTTTGTTTGTTTTTTATTTTTGTTTTCAGAGAAGACTGTCTATGAAGAGGAGAAAAATGATTCAAAGAGACGACATGATACATGACAGTGTGATCTTCAAGAATTCTTACTGGGATCTAGCAGGAGGAAGAGAAAGTTTCTGCCTCTCCACATCTTATTATTACCATTATTTTAAACATGCATTCTCATATAGTCCAAACTGGCCATGAGTGCATTATACCTTGAACTCTTGATTCTCCTACCTCTTCTTCCAGAAGGCTAAGATTTCAGGCGTGTTCTCTGTGCCAAGCTTCTGCTCCTTATTTTTTATTTATGGACCTTACCTTTATCTCTCCACAATTATTGTGATGGGTCACATGGTGACCCATTGGAAAGTATGCCCAGTTTCAGGCCATGATAGCGTGGGAACATGGCCTGACTTGGAAATGGGGGATCTTTGCAGTTGTAATAGAGCAAGAGAACTTTAGATGAAATCCTCCTTGATTGTATTTGGGGACAAAAGCACCATGGGAAGACAGAGGCAAAGGGCAGTTACAAGTTGAGGAGCAGCTGGGAATGCCACAGTGGAAGGAAGTGGGGTAGGGAGCTATCCTAGCGTCTCCAGAGACTGAGGCCCAGGCAACACCTCAGTTTCAGACATCTGACCCCCAGGACCGTGAGTCAACAAATTTTGACTGCTTTAAGTTACCAATTATGTGTCAATTTGTCCCAGTAACCTCAGGAAATTAATGCAGTTAACTAAAATCTTTGTTGGCCTCTGTTTCCACAACCATGGCTGCTTGGGTATTTAATCTGAAAATAAGCTCAAAACTAAAAAAGAAAATCTGTTGCAGAGAACACTGCAACAAGGATTTTACATGCACAGTAAGAAGTGCAGGAAAACACGACAGTGTTGTTATGTATGTGCGAAGGAAGAGCATGACCACTGTTTCCTGGGGTGTCTGCAAGGCTGTTCAAAGGGAAGGACCTGAAGGTGGGAAGGTATTTCCTGGACAAGTGGGTTCACTGGGGGATGGGGAGAATTCTTGGAAAAGCTAGTAACAAAAAAATGTATGGAGGCACAAAATCTTGTAGCTGCTATGGGGACTGAATGTTTTGAAGTCTTCCTGATAAGATTCCAAAGTAGGTATGCTGAGGGAAAATGCTAAGGCTAGATTCCAAAGGGCCATAGTCACCAAGAACATGGAATGCGTTCTCTGGTGACTAGGATTTTAAGCAAGGTGATACCATAATCCCATCTGTGCTTCAGAAAGATCACTGAGGATGAGGCAGAAGGCTGCCCTGGAGACTTAACCCTAAGGCGGGAAGACTCCTTAGAAACATTCTGAGGCCAGGGTGTGAGGAAGGGAGAAGACGACAAGCTAAACTAAGACACGATTCTGAGGCAGGAGCAAGGGAGCTAGACGAGAGTCTGAGTTAGAGAACTGAGAAGCAACGAGTGTGGTTTCCCGTACAGTAATGAGAGATGAAAGCATCAAGAAGACTACCCACCAACTGTGTGACGTACACCTATAACCTCAGAAGTTGGGAGGCTGAGGAGAAGGAACATTAGGGGTTCAGGGCTAGCCTTGGCTAGAGCGGCTACCAGTGAGTTTGAGGTCAGCCTTGCCTAGACGAGAGATAGAGTGGAAAGAGAAGGAAGGTGAGGACGTGAGGGCAAGAGGTCAGAAGCCAAGCAAGGTGGAGCCTGAGGAGGGATGGCTGAAGAAGAGGAGGAGATGGTCTCCACTTGCAAGGTGGAGCCTGAGGAGGGATGGCTGACAGAAGAGGAGGAGATGGTCTCCACTAGCAGTGGAATTGTCAATGGGAGGTCAGCTAGCTAGCATCCACACAACACAAGACCGGATCATAGGCTTGTCACTGTCACAATGTATCCACACCTTTCCTTATCATCTGAGCAATTGGAAATAGTGTCACATCCTACCCCCACTAACTTAGACATGGTGGTAGAGAGTTCTTATCCATTCCCCCTCAACTGCCCCCCCCCCTCTGCCTCTCTGTATCTGTTTTCTCTCGGTCTCTCTCTCTCATAGACACACACACACACACACATTTTATTAGCTTTGTTTGTTTGTTTGTTTTGAGATGGGATCTTGTGTAGCCTAGGCAAACCTTGACCTCTCTGTGTAACTAAGGGTAACCTAGTATTTGATTTTTCTGCCTACACCTCCCAAGTGCTAAGTTTATAGATGAGCCCCACACTCTCGGTTTTATGTGCTGGGTCTAGAGTGTAGGCTAGGCAAGCCCTGTACCAGCCGAGCTGCAGCTTCAGTCCAGGTCTGACAAGGAGCTGACTTGCTGAGGTCTGGGACCCCACTTCCCATGCTAGGAAGGACCTTCTACTGAAAACGTGATCCGCAGACTGTCAGCATGGGCATCACGGGGGAGCTTGTTACAGACACAGAATTTGAAACTCCGCACCTGCCCCACTGAATGATGGTCTGTATTTTAACAAGATCCCCAGCGACAGGGTGCACACTGAAGCTTAAAAAGCCCTGTCAAAGGCTTTAAACCTCAGTGGCTTCCTTGTCCGACATCAGAGATCACCTAGCACCGTAAGTCCAACAAATTGCTGATTCAGGGAGGCAGTCCTGTACACACCAGAATTTCCTCCTTTACAGTAAAGTAGTGGGATAACTAGGAGTGGCCTGGTGGCACAGGTCTGTTACACCGGCTACCGGGGAGCATAGGGTTAAGGCTGGAAGTTCAAGGCTTGCTTGGACCACTTAGGGAAGTATGTCTCAAATGGTTTTCAAGTGCACGCTGTACTGAGGATGTAGCACAGTGGTAGAGAGTGCTTGCCCAACACGCACAGGTCCTGGGCTCCATCTCTCACACCACAAATAATAATAATAATAAATAACAAATAAGCTGCAGCTTAAATGAGACCAGATGTGATCAAAGTGATGTGGATGCTTTCTATTTATTTGGTACTCAATTCCAAGTTATAGAAAAACATTTTTTTTAAAAAAATGCAAAAAAAAAACCTGACTGGAGTTTATTATATAGCTCTGGTGGGAAATAATATCAAGTCATTAGAACCTTATTCAAAGCAGCCTCCTAGTATCC